TTGCCCTCCCTTTGCCTCTTCCCCTAAACATTCCTTATTAAGTTTTGCATAGTTCCCCCGGCCGCCTCAAATATCCATAGTACTCATGCTCTCGTTTCCCCCTTCTTATCAGTTACAAAGTCCAAGTCAACTCTCTTCAAAGCTATTCCTGTAGATTCTTGATGGCCCATCAACTAGTGGTTGAGGAATTTTAGTCTTATTGTCTCTTTAATATTTTCTCAGTTTGTGATTCTGTATGTGTGACAGCATAAGGATGTATCAGAGTGGGGTGCCTCATTTCCAACTGATTGACTCCGGTATCTCATCCCAGTCTGTGGTGGTTCAGTAGTTAATTTAGAGTGATTTTAATACCAATTAAAACATAGTTCTTTCTCCTCTGGTGAATGAGCCTTGCATCTTTGGCACTCTAGGGTGGGGTGGTGCTGATCTCTGAATGCTGTTTCAACCCTCTTCCCCTGCCCTGACCCCTTTTAAGTGCTGTTAATTTTAGCACTTAATTTATCAGGAAGGGAGGGGATGTTGATGCGTGGGATGTCATGCAGTGTCACACATAAACTGTAACCTGACCCACCCTCTGCATCCATATTTCTGTTGTTCTTCAAGGGCAAAATCTTTAAAGTTCCCTAGGAGGGTCCAGGCTCTTTAGAAACTGTGTATTTTTCCTTAGGTCAGGACCTTTACCCAAGCATCCTCAGAAACACAGGCCTTTATGCTGCTAAAATAATACTGGCTGACCCCGAGTTGTCCTGTCCAGCCATTTCTTGCTTCCTAGCAGGTTGTCTGGGAGTTTGTCTAATGACAGGAGCTACGGGAAATTTGCATTTCCACTAGGTACATTATTTACATTATTTATGTAGTTGTGTTGTTTCAGGGAAACAGTAAAAGCAGTATAAGGAAAAATAGGCATGGGAGGATTAGAGGGATCAAACAGTAAAATCTGGTGAGGTTGAAATTTGCATGCAATACTCAGGAATTTTACTCTGTAAATTGAGGCTATACCTTCATGATTGTGTATTTTCCTTTTGTACCTGATTTTTTCACACATTTTAAAGATGGATTTGTAATGAGCTGAGCCTTCGCCCAATTCTCATGGTTTTCATCCTGCTCATAATAATTTGAAGTGATCTGTTACTTATAGGATGTCTTATATATACTTCTGTAAGCATCTGTTTTCATCAGAGTAGACGTTTTGCCCGATAGATCCCACAGTTAAGCCATTTTACACCTCTGATTGTTCTTATGTTCTGTTAATGTTTTCAATCCGATTACTCTAATTATCCTAAAAATTTCCTTGGGTAGGTCCCATTAAGCTGCACCTGTAGTGCTATAGAAGTTTGGTTACAAATTTTAACACCATGGGGACATTTTCAAGATCAGTCCGCTTGCAACATTGAGGATTATATACCCTTATATACGATCACGTGGGGAGTACCCAGCTCAACTAGATCATGCCAATGACATCAGTTGTTGCCATCTCTGAGTCCCAGGGGATTCCTCCTTCCCAGTCGCTAGAGCCCAGCCTCATGCACCCAGGGAGGGGAGGTCCTCTCCTGTATAGATAATTCTGACAGGGATAAATAGTCTGCTACACCTGTTGCTGGCATAAAAATGGTTGTCCCTGTCAGTTTCTGCTGCCTTTTACTATTCCTTCCAAACACTGTCTGTTTCCACTTTCCTGGTTTTCTTATTAGTGATCCAGGAAAAGCAGATAGCATGATGCAAATAAATTACATGGATGTATGTTTCCCTCCTTCTGTGTCTCACAGCATGGCTGTAGCGTGCCTGTCAGGTCCTACTGATGCTGCTGGAGAAGCAATCAGCAAGAATTCTTTTCTCAAAGACTTGGCTGCTGCAATGGCTTTCTGTCCTCCTGTTATCCCAGGTTTAGCCAGGGAAGAAGTAAAGCACTCTTGCCTGGAGCTAGATGTCGAGGTAGTTGCTTTCTCTTAGGACCTCTTCTAAGGAAGTGCCTTGTCTTTGCCAGACTTGTCTTCCCTTTTGAATTTCCTCCTTACTACTTCCAGTCTAGCTCGGAAAGGATAAAGTTACACAGATAGAAACATCCTATGCATTACAGAATCACAGCAGTACAGAGTACTCCTGTGTTCTCGCTATATTCCACAGGAAGCTCCATTCAGTGCTGAGAGGGAGACATCCAGGAAAATGTAGATTTGAAAGGATACTCACTGAATACAAGAAGTATTTGGTTCATCTCAGTGCCATCTCTTCTGCCGCAGTCCATGGCAGAGGATTGTAGGGTGTCCTGATGATGGGCTAATGAGGTTACTGAGATTGTTTGGGAAAGGATTTCCTTGTCTGTGTGGCTTCTCAGCTGCTTGGGACAAACTCACATTTCTTTATGTACCGTGATGGCTAGAGCAACTGTTGGTTTTATGTAGAATGGGAGTCTCATCCAGATTATGGTGACTCTCACAGGTGTTTCTTCTAGACACATCATTACACTGGCATGCTCTAGGCAAATTATCAACAGCCTGCATTTCCACTACATTTATCCAAAAAAATCATATCCATGTTGAAGTTTCAGACCTTTTCCTTTTGAGATACTTAGTTGATCTGAATAAGGTTCATTACAAAATTCCTTCACATTCTTGAATCAATTAGCAGCTTTCTTGGGCAGAGAGGGAGTGCCTACTAGAAGGGTAGGTAGGGGTTAGATTTTGAGGGATAAATGGAGACCAAGAGAGATGACAGAATGCAAGGGAGTCTTTTTGTTTAAAGACCTGAACGAAATTTCATTAGGTGCCAAGACAACAATACTTCACCTTCTTTTCCATCAACATGCGGACTTTTTCAGTCTGCCTTCATATGATTAAAAGAAATTATATGACAGACACCTATAGGTATGACCACCACTTCCCATTTGTGGAAAGAAATTAAACTTTCTCTTACTATATAGTTGGTATGACTGTGGGAGACAATAAGTCATGATAGTATAAAGGGAAAAAAGAGAAGAATAGCTTTGCCCTCCAATCAAATGCGTGAGTCACTTGGACATAATTCAAATGACAGACCTACATCTAAAGTGAGGACAAGAATAAGCTCTTGCTGAGTTTCTGATCTCACAAAGCACTAGGTAGAAAATTAATTCTAGTCCTCACAGTCTGTGTGACAAGCAAGAATATCCAAAAGATGAAACAGAACTTTGATTATTTTCTTGCAGTTCAGTCTCCGTTCCTAATAATCTCCAGAAAGGTCCCTTGCGTATATGGGAGGGGAAGCATAAATTTGAGAAGAGTTTCTAATAAGAAAATAGCACGAGTTGAAAAATTAACTCAGTGGAATAGAAAAATTACAATGAATATATTTATAAATAAAAAGCAAAAGTGTCTACGTGGTCTTGGCAACAAGAAACTATAAGGGAAATGAGAAAGATTTTCTTAACAGTCATGCTGAAAATAAACCAAACTTAGGTAAACTAATCCTAAATGCAGGTTGTTCTGGTTCTACTAGTACCCAGTTAGCATTTTATGAACAGAGGTGTATTTCCAAAAGTGGTCAATACAGCTCAGAAGCGTCCCAGCTCTTCAATGTCATCATAGCCTGTATCTTCAAGAACAGGGGATGAACGTCTCTCAGTCTCAGAGGTCCTGTTTCCTGACACATTAGGACTCCAGTCTGAAAACATAAAGTGGAGAACACTCAGATAAATGTACATCCTGTATGTATTACCTTTACATGGCTATGCAGCTGGCAGCATGGGCTGTCCGTTGTCTTCTCCAGAAATTAGAACCATAGATATGCATGGCTGTGAAAGCCCTGAGAAATGTCTGTCTCTTACTGCCTCTGGCTACATGTACATGTATGCAAGGTTCAGGCTTACTGTTCCCAGAAAACAGGTTACTGATGTAACTTTAAACACGTGTAATAAAGGCAATTATTCAAAATCCCTAATTAACCCAACTCTGTTTTACTGCCTCAAGTGTTATCTGACACATTGCAAATTTAGTAGATCTGTCCTTGTCCATCCCACAAGTGTGCCCTGATCTGCCTCCTCACGGGAGAGTGCTCAGCCCATTGTTTGTGTTTGAAACCCATTAAGAGGATGTAACCCACCTTACTGACTGAGGCGTGTTGTTGCCTACAAAGGTAGGAGACTTATTATGAGATACAGGGGAAGACCATCTTGGGATTGTAGACAACTTACTATGGGCTACTTAGGGAAGGAAACAAAAGTGCAGAAAAGGAGGGATCAGTGTAGCTTGGGGAGGAACAAACATGAGAAAATAGAATGATAAGGGGATAAAGGGGGCTGGTGGCATGTAAACAGGCTGCTGGCCAGTGTGTGTGTTTGGCCATGCTCTGCATTTGATCAGCAGCATCTGTCCTGTCTTATCATCAAATCAGAATCATAGAATGGTTTAGGTTGGAAGGGACCTTAAAGATCATCTCGTTCCACCCCCCTGCCCTGGGCAGGGACACCTCCCAGTAGACCAGGTTGCTCAAAGCCCCATCCATCCTGGCCTTGAACACCTCCAGGGATGGGGCATCCACAACTTCTCTGGGCAACCTGTTCGTTCCAGGGTCTCACCACTCTCACCGTAAAAAAATTCTTCCTAATATCTAATCTAAATCTACCTGCTTTCATTTTAAAACAATTTCCCCTTGTCCTATAGCTATACTCCCTGATAAAGACTCCCTCCTCGTCTCTCCTGTAGGCCCCCTTTAACTACTGGAGTGCTGCTATAAAGGCCTCCCCGGCGCCTTCTCTTCTCCAGGCTGTACAACCCCAACTCTCAGCCTGCCTTCATAGGAGGGGTGCTCTGGCCCTCTGATCGTCTTCATGGCTCTCCTCTGGACTTTCTCCAACAGGTCCATGTCCTTCTTAAATTGGGGACTCAGAGTTGGATGCAGTACTCCAGGTGGGGTCTCACAAGAGTGGAGTAGAGGGACAAAATCACCTCCCTTGACCTGCTGGCCATGCTTCTCTTGATGCAGCCCAGGATGTGGTTGGCCTTCTGGGCTGTGAGCACATATTACCAGGTCATGCTGAGCTTCTCATCAACTGACAAGGGCTGCTCTTGATTCATTCCCCCGCAGCCTGTATTTGTGCTTGGGATTGACTCAACCCATGTGCAGGACCTTGCACTTGGCCTGGTTGAACTTCATGAGGTTCACATGTGCCCCCTTCTCAAACCTGTCAAAGTCCCTCTAGATGGCATCCCTTCCCTCCAGCATGTCGACTGCTCCACACAGCTTGGTGTCATCAGCAAACTTGCTGAGGGTGCACTCAATCCCACTGTCCACATTGACAACAAAGATGTTAAACAGCACTAGTGCCAGTAACAACCACTGAGGAACACCACTTGTCACTGGTCTCCACTTGGACATTGAGCCACTGACCGCAACACTTCGAGTGCAACTGTCCAGCCAATTCCTTATCTACTGAGTGGTCCATCTGTCAAATCCATGTCTCTCCAATTTAGAGACAAGAATGTTGTGTGGGACAGTGTCAAATGCTTTGCACAATTCCAGATAGATGATATCAGTTGCTCTTCCTCTATCCACCAACTCTGGAACCCAGTCGTGGAAGGTACGATTTGCCTTTAGTGAAGCCATGTTTGCTGTCACTGATCACCTCCTTATTTTCCATGTGCCTTAGCACAGTTTCCAGGAGGATCTGCTCCATGACCTTGCTGCGCACAGAGGTGAGACTGACAGGCCTGTAGTTCCCGGCTCTTCCTGTTTTCCCTTTTTAAAATAGGGGTTATGTTTCCCCTTTTCTGCCAGCAGGAACTTCACTAGACTGCCACGACTTCTCAAATAAAATAATCCTCTTATTAAATTCCATTTCTAACTGCTTTCCTGACTACAGGGACTCTCCATTCTGTGTGTATGTGTGTATGGAGGTCTAAGTGCCAGCAACCAGAGCTGGACCGTGAGTCAGAGGGGTCTGTGCATCTGTGGTGCCAGTAGCTGGAGAGACTGGAGTGGACAGAACTCTTAAGTGCCACCAACTGGGGTGGGACTGTGTGTCTCTTGGACTAACATGCCCAGACACCAGCAGCTAGGGCAGTTCAGGGGATCCAGGGGCTAGTTACTTGGTAGATTGCATGTCTACACCCAGTTACTGGGGGACACGTTGTGCATACATGTGGGTGTTAGGGTGCACATGGGTATGTGAAGCAACTGGAAAGCCAGGGGTTTCCAGGACCAGCTACTGGATGGAGTGTCTAAGGCCAGTTACTAGTGGAAGTATAGTGTTTGTCTACATGTGTGTGGGTGTCTGTAGGTCTGATTACCAGAAACTGGAGTGGGTCTGTGGGCCTTTAGGGTTAGTACATGCAGGTACCAGCAACTTGAGAGACCTAGGACCCAGGGGCAGCTGCTGGATAGACCATCTAAGGCCAGCTACTGGAGGGATCCATATATTGTGTGTGCTTATACATTTTCCACCAACAGGCTTTCATTCTGGTCATCCAGAGAGGGGAACAGGATGAGGCTATTGGTGCTGCTTATGCTTGAGTGCTATGTTTTCTGTCCGTGTTGACTCTCCAAGCCAGCCTTGTGTACCTGCATATATGTATTTTATGTAGGTGCATATGAGTGCATGCCTACACACATGCTCAGCCTCACTAGTGGCTGGACCTAGGGACCTCCATCAGACTACCAGATTTAGCATCCCCTAGTATCTTCTAATTTTTAGAAGGCAAACAACAGATGAGAGGGGTGAATATACCTTAACTATACACTCTTTTTGTAAACAGCAAAGTTTGTCAATACAACAGAACAGCTTTGTATGAAGTCAATAGCAAATGAGGTTCACAAAGACGGAGAATTCATTTAAGTAAGGTAGAAATGTATACAACTTTATATGTAATCTTAAAATGAATATAATCACGGGCTGTTAAAAAAAATCTCTAACGTTTTTCTAATCACTTTGAGTCCTAAAATATTTTGATTATTTTTTCATGCCTTCAGTCTGTCGGATATATTTATCACTACCCTGAAAGGTGGAGTGCAGCTGCTGATCAGGTGTTCCACAGCTATATTAAGTGCACAGAGGAAAAAAAGTCTATCTTAAATATTTTTTTTGTTAATTCTTTTTGAATTAGATGGGCCTGACAAAATTTAGTGCTAGGATAAAAACCTAGCTGAATCCATCCTCCAGGCACTATCCACTGTCTTTAAAAACTCACAGAGAACAGGCTCTGAAGGACTGGGAAAACATGAACAACGTGTATTTTTAAGATGATGTGCGCAGGAAAAGAAACAAGTTTAGGAGTTAAAGAAAGTTCAACTTCAGAAAGATATGAGAACAAATAAAGTACTTGTAAGGAGACAGAAGGATAAAAGCAGGTAGATAACAGATAATATGGATTTGTTGAAAATAAATCACACCAGATAAATCTGATTTTTCTTTTTGATTATGTAAAAGTGCTTTTATAAGGGAGTAGAGCATATTGTCACTCAGTCACAAGGTATTTTTATAAGTAAACTAGAGAAATATGTTCTAATTCAAACCTCTGTAGACTGGGTACAAATTCAGTCAAAAATGGTATTCTTCGTGTAGCTCACTGTACCAGGTAATATTTTTTGACACCCCTAGATACAACTGTGTATTTTTATTAAGTCTAAGATAAAAGACACATGTTCTTATTGCGTTTTCCAGGTGATATCATACTATACTGTAATTCAAATGATGCTGGCAAAATTTTCATGGACATAGAATGACATTTAATAAGGGCCCTTGCAAGACTACAGGTGAGGAGAGAAACAATCAGCCGCATAATTAGAAAGATTGGTGTCTAGACAATGGTAGGTAGTATTTTACAGAGCAGTATTTGAAGTTGCATTAGGCCAGACATTGAACACTCTCAGGAGTGTCATGATGTTGCAAAAAAGGGAAACATCACACTAGCATGCATAAACAGAAGGATATCCTGTAAGACATATGAAGTGGTCCTTCTGCTCACTAGTAAGGTTTTAGTACTATGCTGTACAGAAATACTGTAAAATTTTGGGTTTGAAACACTTTTTGAACAATATGGACCTACTGATGCAGCCTGAGTGAAGACATACAGAATGCGCAGAGGACTAGTCAACAAGACCTAAGTAGAAAATTGACTAATTTAGGTTGCGGCGATCTAGAGAAACAAAATACAAAGCAGAACTGAGGGGACATATGTTAACAGTCTTCAAGTACTTAAAAGGCTGTTACAAAGATGACCGCAACTCCTGTATCCCCATGGTCATTGTGATAAGTAATGATTTTAATTTGCAGCAGTGAACACTTAGGTTAGGCCACAGGCAAGAATTGTATAGCTGTAAGCAAAACACAGCATGGGTATAGATCACCTGCGGAGGTGGTGGAAACACTGCTACTGAGTGGCTGTTAGAACAGAATAACAAACATCTAACCTATACTTTCCATGTAGGTAAATAGTGTTCCTTCCTGACAGTAGTTAGATAAAACCTAGGTGATCCCTTCAGGTACCCTCCACCTTGATTTTCCCTGAGTTCAGTACAGTAACTATAGATTATCAAAACTAACAGCACTGCTCATCTGGCCTCACCTCTCCGTGAATCCTTGTTTCTGTCACTTTCTTCACTTTCTTCAGGGATCCCAATGATTTCCTGTTCATTCCGCCCAGAAAGAGAAGCATCTTTAGGTCCAGGAGCTTCTGTCACATCATCATAACCATCTTCCAGGGCATTTCCAGGCACTGGAGAGTCGTCTGGAACAGTACAGGTATTAACTATTACAGGGAGAGATCTTCCACTAGAGAAAGCAGTAGCTGATGATCCAGTGATAAGGACCTGTAATACTGGCATTATCATGATGATAATGAACAATTATAAACCAAGAATCCTCCCGAGGACTCTCAGGTATTCCAGACAGCAATTATATAGTTCCAATAATTGTTATACATTGCTGTAACAAGTAGAAAGCAAAAATCAACATGGAGGAGGGACAGGACGGGGAAGAAGATCTGTTAGGCAGTTAGTGACAGGCTTTATTGCAGAGTAAGATTCCCCATTGCATTTCATAATTGCACAGTGAAAAATTACTCCTTGTTTATCTCTGTGTAGCACCTGCTTCCTTGTCTTTTCATTACTTTAACCACCTTCTGTTAAATTTCTCTGAAATGGTCTAGCTAAGTAGGCACCCTTAGCCATTTGCTTATTGTCGTGGTTTAACCCCAACCAGCAACTAGGACCACGCAGCCACTCGCTCCTTCCACCCCTCTCCCCACCCCCCCGTAGGGCAGGGAGAAGAGGGAGAAAAGGAGGAGAAAGGGAAAAAAACTCATGGGTTGAGAGAAAGACTGTTTTAATAGAACAGCAACGGAAGAGGAAAATAACAATAATAACAATGGTAGAAGAATGTACACAAAAAAGTGATACAACACAAGTCACTCTCACCACTGATGATCGGTTGCCTAGCCCATGCTGAGCACTGATCACAGACTCATGCCCCAGGCCAACCCCCATTTATATACCGAGCATGACGTCTATAGTATGAAATATTTCTGTGTCTATTCGCCCTCTCAGTTTCTTTGGGAAGCTGAAAAAGTCCTTCACTAATGTGAACATTACTTAACAACATCTAAAACAATATGTACTGTCAACATTCTTCTCATACTAAATCCAAACCATAGCAGCTACTAGGAAGAAAATTATCTCTATCCCAGACGAAACCAGGACACCTACGTGCATGTGGCTACAAACTTAGGCCAAACCTTTGGAGAAAAAAAGATGCAGTTCTGCTTTTCTTCTTCAGGCTGAACAACCCCAACTCTCTCCGCCTTTCTTCACAGGAGAGGTGTTCCAGCCCTCTGATCATTTTTGTGGCCCTTCTCTGGACCTGCTCCAACAGGTCCATGTCTTTCCTGTACTGAGGACTCCAGAGCTGGATGCAGTACTCCAGGTAGGGTCTCACAAGAGCAGAGCAGAGGGGAAGAATCACCTCCATCAACCTGCTGGCCCAGGATATGATTGGCTTTCTGGGCTGTGAGCACACATTGCTGGCTCATGTCCAATTTGTCACCCACCAGTATTCCCAAGTCCTTCTCATCAGGGCTGCTCTCAATCCATTCATCTGCCACTCTGTACGGATCCTGGGGATTACCCAGACCCAGGTGCAGGACCTTGCACTTGGCCTTGTTGAACTTCATGAGGTGAGGTTCATATTCATCCATTTCTCAAACCTCTCAAGGTCCCCCTGGACAGCATCCCTTCCCTCAAGTGTATCACCTGCAGTGCTCAGCTTGGTGTCATCTGCAAACTTGCTGAGGGTGCACTCAATCCCACTACCTCTGTCATTAATAAGGATATTGAACAGTACTGGTCCCAGTATGGGCCCCTGAGGGACACCACTTGTTACTGATGTTCGTTTTGACATTGAGCCTTTGACTGCAGCTCTTTGGATGCGGCCATCCATCCAATTCCTTAGCCATTCATCAAACTCAGTTTTGTGAGTAGCCAGCTCTCTGATTCCTCAGGTGCAGCCAGCTCTGTGGTCTGTACTTAACTGGAAGCCATCCCTCAGAGAATATTAGTTTTCACTGTTTTATAGTATATACACACATGGACATACATATAATATGTATATAAAATTAAGTCAATCAAAGCACTCCTATTTCATTTTTTACCTAGTACTCAATATTCAATCTGAATAAGAAAAAGAAATCTTATTTGGAATAATTATCTTCTTGATGAACATTTCAAAGCAAGTAAGGAAAAGAAAAGCTTCTAGCTTGACTTTAAATAAAAAAAAAAAACCTTAATAGAAAAAAAACCCAACAGAAACAAAATTAAAGACATAGCACAGCAGAGAGTTAGGGATATGGGCAGCTGAGGTCCAAACCTGCTTGTGCCTTTGACATTTGAACTCTGAGACTACGCAATAGCTAAGAGCTATGATCAGCTCTAGAAAATGAAATGCTTCTTCAAACACTTGCTCTTGCTCAGCTTTTTCAAATTAAAAAAAACAACCAACATCTGGCAAACTGCATTTTCTTCACATCAGTCAGATTAAAATTCCCTAATCAACTCCAATGATATGCCAATGTTCTTATTTGGAGGATGTTTTTCCTCTGTCTTAATTCTCCCCATTTATCTCAGAAAAGAAGCAACATCTTACAAGCTGTTACAGTTGCAATTTCTGGGGGAAGCAGTTGTCAAATTGTTGGATTCATGTGACTGGGTCTTGTGAAGAGTGCAGTAATACCAGAAAACATTTATTTTTGACTTCTCATACAGAAGAGAAGGCTGGCTCTTGTATACGAGGTTGTATGACATTCTTCCACCACAAGAGTTAAACGGAAGTTTTTGTTTCACATCAAAACATCAGTAGCGGACATGAAGTGCAGCAAGAAAAAAGTTTAATCACCAATAATGCTTTGGAAATAGAAAACTACCCTGATTTTGTGTCTCTTTCTTTGTGGGATACCCATCTTCCATTACCTTGAGTTGCTCCAGGACCATTTTCTGCGTCACTGTCCTCGCTATAAAACTGTGCCTTTGTTTTTGAACTCTCTGAATAAGAATCTAGGCAAATGAGAAAGAGTATGATATCAGATTAAACTCTCCTTAGCTGCTAAGGAAAAGAGTAGGCTACAGTAATACCACTCAAGTCAAGAAGATTCTTGGGTAGTCAGTATTACTCCTGCAAGGTAAAGGGCTTACAGAATCCCTCAGGGGCCCCATAACACCTCTCCATGGCTCATGGGGGAGGCAAGCCATGAAGGGAGGAAAGCAGTTGACAGGAGGAAGCCTACAGAGACACATAGCTGCTGGGAGGGAGATCCACATTATTCCTTTACTTGTTTATGCTTGCAATAATTGCAGAAAAAGCATTTTTCCTTTCCTTTTTTTTGGGGGTGGGGTGGGGTGGGGGGGGTGGCGTTGTTTGGTTGCTTGACCTATACTGATCTATGCCGTATGGCTGCAGTGAGGACAGCACAGAATGATTTGTCCCTAGGAGAGGAACTGGCAGGGTCCAGTTGTCCAGTGGGCAGGAAACCCCTCTCCTCAAATGTAGGCATTTTCCATTTCCCAGTAGATTTGGGAGTTGCAAAGTATCAGATTGGGATCTGGGCCACCAGGAGGAATTAGCCTCAGTTATTTTCCTTTGACAAGAACAAGACATACAGACCTGCGAGGCCAGTCATGCTCTGCTTTTCCCTCATCAGGTTGTAGTCGATCTCTTCATAGACAGCCTCAGAGAAGGGGTCATAGGATATTCTGGAGCCTGAAAGTAAAAGGAGATGGTCACTCACACAGTCTCTGCTCATGCTCAGGCTGGGGTCATTAAGAAGAAGAGTGACCTGAATGGGTCTACATAGCCTGGCTGGTACCCAGAAAGTTACTGAGAGGTGCTGGCTGAGGATAAGCACTGCTGGGATCTTTCTCTGCCAGATGGTAAGTGAAAATCTCAGGGTGGCAGCAGATGCCATTCATCTCAGTCACCTATCCCCCCAGCCTCTCCAGCCAACTAAACACTCTCCAGCCATGTCAAGGAGGCATTTCATACCAGTCCTGAGGGACCTACCTCTCTGCTGTGCCCTGGCACTTCGGATCTGTCCAGCAAGAATGGCAAGGACCAGGCAGAGAACAGCCCCCAGTATAATGCAGAGGATGACAGGCACTGACATTCTTGTAGGGTCTGTTGCAGAGCGACGGGGAGGATCTGAATGGAAATGAAGAAGCAACAGGTAGAGAATCAGGTGACCCAAAGGGCTGTTCCTCTGTAGCCTCCTGCTGTGCCCATGCTAGCACCAGTTGTGGGTCCTGCTCAAGCAGCCAGAATTCAGCAGCTGGGGATAGTGCCACTTGGCTCTCCTTTACTAAAGGCTATGGGAGATGCTTTCTGATAAGCTGGAATAAACTGCTGATTTACCTGCTATGCAGTATTGGGGACATTAAATCGTCATTTGGTGAGAGAAAGAAAGGGGGAAGAAGGAATATTTTACCTGCTCTAGTGGGTGGTGCTGTTGTTTCCGTGATACCTGCAAAAGGAATACGAGTCTAGATTAAGGAAGAGACAAGTGTGAAAAATAGGGAGAACATCTCCACATCATTTGTGAGGCTCCTGCAGTCAAAATTATGAAGGCACTAGTCACTGGGCTGTACAGCTGACATAACGTTCCTCTATCCACCTCCTTCCCAGATCTGTGTAATGAACCAAAGTATCAGTCACTAACCGGAGCAATTCACAGCAGCATCTTCCTTATGATCACAGTTTTTGCCGAACAAGGGCTTGGCAGGACAGTCCCAAAGAGACAGCTCTGTTCCTTTACAGTGCACCTTCTCCAACCAGATGGGACCAGTCCCTTCTCCAAAGGCAGCTTCACTCAGAGCAGATACCGCAGATCCACAACCCAGCTGCCTGCATACAACATTAGCATCCGCCACGTCCCAGGAATCATCACAGACTGTTCCCCAAGAACCGTGGTGCCAAATCTCCACTCTGCCTGAACATCCATCCTCTCCTCCTATGACACGTAACTTCTCCCTGTCTGCAAAACACAGAAACCTTCTGTATTGCTGAAACCATAGGAATGCCCGCAGGGACAAATAAGGAGAAACAAAGAGGTATAGGTACCTGAACAACTTGTAGAGTTTGGACACTCAGTAAATGTGGCTGGAGATGTCTCTTTTCTTCCTGCAGAATTTAAATACTGAAGTAAATTGATTATTCTCTGAAAAGACCAAGGGAATATAAAATACCTGAAAATTAATCAATTAATTTTTTTCCTATTATATATATATATGGCCTCTTTAGTACTTGGTGGATCGCTGTTTGGCTATTGCTGTGAATTAAATAATCTTCCTGATGACTGTGCTTTCTTTATTCTTGTGTGAAGCAGATGCAATCCCTTCCAGGAGGTCTGAATGCCATCTAGAATTCATTTATGTTATAGTGGGAACCCACAGGTATGAAATATTGTTACAAGAGTAGGCATTAGAAATGGACCTTTAGAACTGAACTAATTCATATATTTGTCCGTGACTGTATGCATGCATGTGCATACATGTACATGTGCACTGATGTGCCTCCATCCATGTAGAAACACATACATGCCTCTATACTTATTGAGAAGTCTGACCCTAACTCAGATCTCACAGACTGACTGCGTATCATAGATTTTTGCTTTGAAAATATGCAATGGCACCATCCTATCAGGGACTTCCTTGGGATTTCCACTGGGTAACTGCACTCGTTGACACTAATGTAATTTTAATTCACTCGTCTACATCAAGGATATAGACAAAGAAAAATGTTTCTGCCATTTGCATGAAACCAGAAATAATATATGCCAGATAACAAATGAACATGAGGTAATTACTACAATGTCCATATATGCATTCATAGGTTTATGTATATGTCTGAGTAGTCCTGTACAGATGCATTTCTAATTACCAGTGCAAGAAATATGGGTCTCTTCTGCTCGGTTATCACATGACTGAGGATCCCAGGGGTCTGACTGACATTGCCAGAGAGAGCTATGTTGCTCAGTACACTCAACGTGGTCCAGCCATGTGGGCCCAGAACCTCTGCCATATTTGAAGTCTCTTGCAATTTCCCCACCATCTCCGCAGTTCAGGTGTTTGCACACAGTTATTGCAGTGAGTTGAGACATACGATTGGAGCAAACACTCCCCCATGTCCCATTGTAGAAAACTTCTAGGCGCCCAGCACAGTCATCGCCATTCACCAGCCTCAGAGCCAGGAACTCTAGGAGTGAAGACACAAAAATGGAATTAGAGGGGCCTGACTCTGCTAGGAACTTGGTTGTGATGAGTGAAATCCAGAATATGCTAACAATCCTGTTCATCACTCTGAATGAGGAAGTTCCAGAGGAAACCACTACAAAAACACTTAAACCCAAAAATTGTACAGTGGTCCTTTCTGGTTAGCCAGCATTCACATAAACAAAGAACAGTGATGGGCACACCCCACAGTTGCAGGCGTATTTCTTTGGTATGTTGAAGCATAAGTGCCATATGCTTGTCTGATTTGTTGAAATTTTGCTGTGCAATGACTTGTTTACAATAATTTCAGAGCCTGCTGGAATGGCTCCTCTGCAGAAGCACAGGGCACCCCTGCAGCCTCCGGTGACTGAAACCCTGCCAGTTATAGCTGATGCATTTCAGCTATCACCTCTGTGAAACACCTATTTAAGAGTAGTGTTTGAATATACATTCATTATAAACGCTACCATCATCATAATCATAAAATAATTCATCATTATAATAAAAAATCATAAATATAAACTCTCCCCTTAGTCTCAGACCATAGACATTGACATTGTAACAATGTGCACATATAGTCCTCTCATTTTGGGAACCACATTATAGGAGTTAACATCATACCAATCTCAACATGTAATTATTACAAAATTCAGACCTTGTGCCTGAAACACACATGAACAAGAATGTAGTTTATGAAGTAAAGTAAGATTACTCCTTTCTACTTACTTGATGTAAAGACAGACATTTCATTGTTCTTTTTCCAAAGACTAACCAGTAAGTAAACCCTTGCTCTTCAAACAATAGACACTACTTTCTTAGGGATTTAAACTGTTGCAGGCTTCTCAATCCGACCATTCTCAGGGCTGGCTGGTAGTTTATCACCCAGTTGAGCTCAGATTTTGTTTTGGGCTGCTATGATGAGCTCCTGGTTCTAGGTTAGCTAGGCACGCAGCTTCTTGGAGGTGTGGAAGGTGAGGATGTCATACATTCCCTGATATACCCTTTCCATAGTGTTTTTATCATAGGTTTAAGTAAACCATTGCACAGCTCTACTTTTCCAGCTACCTGGTGATGTACCCGCTCTACTCGTTCTTGAACAGTTGTATTTTTGTAATGGCTTACATTGTCTGATTCCTGCCCAAGCAGCATTCCATGGTGCCAACAGATATGTTTGTTTATTCCTTCTAGGGTGCTACCTGCGTTTGCTGTCTGAGTGGGGAAAGCTTCTAGCCACCCTTGTGATGTTCTACTACTACAAGAACATAGCATCTGCCAGTGGTCCTGGGGAGGAAGGGGTTGGTCTATATAATCCACTTGCCAGGCATCTCCAAACACTCATTTCTTTCACTGTGCATACTGTTTAATCATTCACAGCGTATATTGTGTTATTCCACAGACATCACACAGCCTAATTTCTTGCATTGTATCAGTGGGGATGTGCTGATCAACTATGCTTGTTGTCAAGAGAGAGCAAGAGGCTGTCCAAACAAGTCTCCACTATTCTCTGCTTCCCCTTCATGTAACCCTCCCCTTTCAACCCACAGGCTCAGAAAATGATTCTCTGAACAAACCTGAGCACAGGACTCCAGCATCCTCTTTGTGTTGGCAGTTGTGCTGACCCCATGCCCTAGAGGGACATGCCCAGAGATCAGATTCAGCCCCAGTGCAGTTCACATCATCCAGCCAGATCTGTCCAGAGCCTTCGCCATAATGAGCAGAGGCAAATGCCTTGATGGCATGTCCACATCCTAGCTGTTTACAAACAACATTAGCATCTGATAGATCCCACTTGTCATCGCAGATGGTGCCCCAGATGCCATCATGATAAAGCTCCACTCTGCCAGCACAGCGATTTGTTCCATTCACCAGCCTGATCTGTCTGCTACCTGCAGGAAGAAAACCCAGCTGTCAACATGCCATATAATGATAATGCACAGGTCAGCGTAATGGCTGTACATTTAAAGCGCTTTTAAGGCAGCATGTTCTTGTTATATTCCAGTTCTTCTGTTACGGTTTCTTGGGCAGAACTAATGTGATGCTAAAACATCATAAAGGGAAAGGACTACTCCTGCATCAGGTAAATGTTCGAATAATTCCTCTGACAAGTTGCAAACAAGGAGTGTCTAGTCATACTAAGTATATGTGGAGATCATGTTATCTTATAAAGCCTGAGAAGCTGTTTTCTATCTAAACTCATTTTGTTAGACAGAGACAGTTTCTGTTACCGATGGGTTACAAAATAAGAGTAGAAACAGTTCTAATTTACTTTAAAAAGGCCGCAGATATCTATAAATATAGAAATGTCACAAAATAAAACCTATTTAATTCCCAAGTGACAGTCAGAATGAGTGGCAGCCATGGCCAAATTACTGTTCTTATGACTTCTGTATTCTATTATTTCTTTATGATTCTGTGAGATAAATTTTTTAAGAAAATCAGATGAAGAAAGCATTATGTGAATTACACTTGCTTCCTTAACTATCATTTGTCCCATAGAGTATTCAAGCAGGTGGGTATCACAAGCTCAGGCCCATGCCTATTTAAGATCTGGCGAGACCACAGCACACGATGGGCTAGAGGAAGCATTCTCTTGCTTTCGCACAATAACTCACCTGAGCAAATCACACCAACATCTTCAGCAACTCCCATTGGCACTGTCTGAGAATGGGAGGTCTTACAGAGCATCAGCTGAGTCTCATTTCCAGCACACTGGACACTTCTTAAGCCCACAAGGCCCGTGCCTCGCTCAGACCTTGGAAGGTAATAGGCTTTCTCGGCATGTCCACATTGGAGCTGTCTGCATACCACATGAGCATCCTTAATGTTCCAGTCATCATCCAGGACTCTGCTCCACGTGCCATGGAGAGCGATCTCAACTCGCCCGTTGCAGCGGCTCTCACCACCTGACAGTCTGACTGTTTCAGCAAGACCTGGGCTCAAGACAGTTGAAAAATATATTGAATAACATCTACTGCTCTTACTGCAGGAGAAATAACATGCAGGAGAGAGATGGAAGACAGATTTCTGTGTTGGTAAAAAAAAAAATTCTCACCACTGGTTAAGGAGACAGCCTCTGTTAAAGCTTTCTCTGCTTTCATGTACACAAGACTCTGCAATGGGAAGTGAGAAAGGCTTCCCCAGCTCAAAGACTAGATCCTGTGAGGGGTCAGGCACATCTAAACAATGATGTGAATCCCTTTACTTAATGAAGTTTTTATGCCGAAACAAAGGTTGGAGAGGTGGGGGAAAGGAAAGAGCATTAGAGACAGGCTGACATACCCGACTTACTTGGCAGAGTGAGATCACTAATGCTGCTTTTGTCTGAAGTTGCACTACCCATAAAAGGCCACTCCTGACTTACCTGAGCAAATAACAGTGGCTGCATCTCCAGCTGAACAGCTTGGATTGCCCAAAGTCACCTGAGCGCAATCCCACAGGCAGGACTCTGTCCCTTCACAGTGAAAAGCATCTCTCCATACAGGCCCGTTCCCGTCCACAAAACGGTCTCCTGTCTGGATTGACTTTGCATAGCCACAGTTCAGCTGATGGCAGAGAACACTGGCAGCTTGCAAATTCCAGTGGGAGCGGCAGAGTCTTCCCCATGTGTCTCCGTGGCGGATCTCCACTCTGCCAGAGCATGTGGTGCCATTCACTAACCTGCTCCCTGGGCACCCTGAATATAAGAGAAAGTGAGTACTGAGATGTCATGTTCATAACTGCTCATGGGCATGACCTGAAAGTGACTGGGAAATGGGAATGAGTTTTCCTTAGCATTCAGTAGTAAAAATGACTCCACTGGGCCACTGGGACTTCCATACTCATAACTAGACTTTAGTCCCCCTTATTTTACTAAGAAGAATGACTAAAAATAAGGATCCGGTCCCCTTTGCAATTATTAAATTCAAGAAACTAGGTTTCTTGGAACCAATAGACCTGAATTGTTCTGACCAGCCTCACTTGCGGCCTCCAGCTATGCATCTTACTGGACCAGGCCTTCAGTCTGTGAGTGGTGTCACTGTCTCCAGTCTTGTCTCCTGCTTCTCCTGACTACTCTCCAGTTGGAGCCTACATCTGATTGATTACTTTGCCTTGTCTGAAACTGTCCATAGACCTTGTTGTCAGTACCTTCCTCTGTGCAGATGCTTTGGATTGTGCCTTGATGGGTAAGGGCACCGCCTGTGTTGTCCTCACCCTCTGCCCCCAGCTCATCCTACCTTGTGGAGCAGCCCTGTTCCTGCTGTTCCCTGTCACTAGGAGCATTTCACAGAGAGCAGCCTTGTGGTACAGGTGAAGTGCAGCCTCAAATACTGGAAATGCCTGTAGCAGCAGACAAAAGACAGAGCTTGGCTCCACAGGCTCCCTCTGGATTTGGGTCCATATTTTTCCTCAAAGATGGAGTTTTCCAGTTCTCCTCTTAGACCTTCCCGCTGCTTACCTGAACATATCACATGAGCGTCTTTTCCAGCAGGGCATTCATCATGACGAAGCACACTCACAGGACAGGCTGTCAGGCCTGAGCCATTCTCCTTGCAGCTGAATGTCCCATTCCAGACAGATTCATTTTCTTTCCTGAAGGACTGTCCACCTGGTATTAGCAGGGCAACTCCACAGTCCAGCTGCTGGCAGAGGGCATTGGCAGCTGGTAGATCCCACAGGTAGTCACACAGGGTTCCCCACGTGCCTCCATGAAGAAGCTCTACTCTTCCTGAACATGTGGTACTGCCATTTGCCAGCCTGTACCCACCATAGCCTGCAGAAAGAATAAAGGAACTCAGAAGTTACTTTTTTTTTTTTTGGTGATATTGTATTGAAATTTGTAAGAAAGATCTAGCTGCAAGGGACTAGCTGCAAGGAACTAGCACTCACTATGTCTCAGGGAAGCATGTTAGACCAGGATGCTCATAAGCCAGCTCTGAAAAAAAAAGTCATTGTTGTCCATGTTGTAGCCTGCACTTGCTCATAAGCCAGCTCTGAAAAAAAAAAGAAGTCATTATGGTCCATGTTGTAGCCTGCACTACATGACTAAAAGTCTTTTGACTCTTTAAGTTCAGTCTTTCTTCCTCTGCTCTGCTCTCTCCTCCCCCCACAATACTGCTGCTACCCTGCAACACCTTCCCTTGCACAGGCAGTTCCAGTGTTGCCTTGCACTGGAGCATGTGAGAAACTCAGAATAGGAGCTACTAGTAGCACTCTCTCAGTCATCTCACGTTACCCGGTAAGCAGCGACTGTAGTGTGCAGTTCTCAACTTTCATCCATGCCACAGCGTAAGGTTCTGAACACAACAGGCCATGCTCATCAGCATATTCACAGTAATGTAAGTGCAGCATGGGTAGGACTGTTGTCCTACTGGCAGCTCCGTGGAGTCCCTCTATTTTCTTACACAGTTACTTCTTACCCTTGCCTGGTCCTTGCATCATACACCCCCAATGAGACCTGGATTTCTGCTCTCAGCTGTGACTCTTGCAAGATGGAGGCAGGAGCCAAGACCTGTCAGTTACTGATGCCTTAACTGGGCTGTTTGGTGACCACAGCTCCCCAACCAGCACTCCAGGTAGCCATGGCCAGTGGGACAGTGTCCAAGGCAGTCTTGAAACGGGCTACAGCCCTTTGACTGGGGAGTAGACGTGAACTGCAGTCCTTTCCAGGCTTGTTTTATGACAGGGTGTTGCCAGCAGCTCTGCCCCATGTTCAGTTTGCCCCTTTTGATTTGTGCCCTCAGGAAAAAAAGTTGTGTTTGCTAGGTTCCATCACTTTAGTAGTGGGTGGCAATAAGTTAGCGGTATTTGTAGCCCCCAGCAGTCTTGACTCTATGGAGTTCTTAAATAATCTTACTTGGCAGTCACAACTAAAGCCATCCAGGCCTCTGACAACTTTTTCTTTTCTTTTTTATAATAATTTAAATTTTTAACTTGTCCCTCCTTTGACTTTTTGGAGGTATGGTACCTCTCAGGGTTTTATAATTAGCTAAAGTGCCAGGGATTAACATACACACTGGCAGCACAGAAAATAAGTTCATTTCTCGATGTTCCTGCCTGTCTAGTTTGGCCATTTTTCCTTTTATGTATATGAGAAAGACATGGAAGGAATTCTCAGCACTATTGAGTGCATACCTCTAGTAGTATAAAAGAAATTACAGCCCTTTTGAGATCCACATCCTTGGTGCAGAAGTGAAGTGGTTAGAACAGCCCATGTTAAATACAGACTCTTGGTAGAGTAAATGAGAGATTGTGGGGCTGCTCTGCATTGCTTCCTGGCCTTTTCTGGATGGCTCGAAGTGTGATAGGGGAAGCACTGAAGAACCCTGAGGACCACAGAAATATACAGAGGCCCTGAACTATGGGTTGACAGGAAGAAGACATATAGGACACATGTAAATTACGTCCATCAGTCCAAAGTCTCACCTGAACACAAAACAGCGGCATCATGAGAGCATGTCTTACTA